CGCCTAATGTTCTTTTGCAGCCCAAGGATTTTGGAGTTGCCTCTATCTAGTTTAGCAAAGCAGGATAAGCCCATGAAAAATGAAAAGGCAGAACTCCTGCAAAGAAAGGACTTTAAGCTCAGCTCACGTCTAATCTCGGGATCAATCAACTGTCTCAAAGCCACCCGCAAACTAAAAACAACCCATATTATTTTTATAGGTCTGTCTTGGGCACATCTGTGCTATAGTTATTGCACATCTAAGTAACCCAGTCAATCTAGAAAGAAAAGAAAAAAACAAAAGAAAATGCTTGCACGAATCTTAGCATAAAATCAATTACATAGGACTTAGATATGCAATACTTAGAGTACATCTAGATGTGCTTTAGCAAAATTATATTTTTATTTTCTTTTGAAAGATCCAGCAAATTTCTGGCATTTCATATATTAAGCAGGAAAAAAAACAGTTCATAGTATCAAAGTCCAGATCATGCATCTCATATGGGTCCAAAAGGACAGCCACAGGGGCTCCATGTGGCACGTGAGATCCAACTTAGAAAAATCACCCGTACCGGACAAAGACCTGCCGGCCCATCGCGCCAACGCCTCGCTGACAACCAAAAGCCCACGCCGGCCCCACACGTCAGTGCCATCCAGCCCACCGCAAAAGGCGAGCACGACGTCTCGGGCTCACGGCCACTCGCCGGCCAGCGCCAGTGTCACCGAACCGCTCTGGAAACCCGGGGCAGGAGCGGCAAAACATACGGCGAAGCACCCCGCAACTACACAGAAATTACGGACGAGTCCCCGGGAGAGTGGGAGTAGTAGTAGCGGAGGGTCCGAGGAGCGAGATTGGCCAGTGGTCTCTCTCTGTTTTTGCGGGCGGGTCCTCGTGTCTGTCTGCCCGTCCGGCCCGGACGAGATGCTCCCGTGGGCGACGGCGGCGGAGGCCGAGGCGGCGCTGGGCCGCGCCATGACGGCCGCGGAGGCGCTGTGGTTCCGGTGCACCGCGGAGACGTCCGACTACTACCTCTATTGCCTCAACATCCTCTTCCTCCTCGTCGTCTTCACGCTCGCGCCGCTCCCCGTCGCGCTCCTCGAGCTCCGCGCGCCGCGGGCCGTCGGGCCGTACAAGCTGCAGCCCCGGGTGCGCCTCTCGCGTGCCGAGTTCCTCAAGTGCTACGGGGACGTCATGCGCATCTTCTTCCTCGTCATCGGCCCGCTACAGCTCGTCTCCTACCCCGCCGTCAAGGTCCGCTCCGCCGGCTTCTCTCTCTCGACCCCCGTTTTTTTTCTCGCTCTCTTGGTGGATGATGAATCTAGGCAATGCGGTCGGAGATTTGGGGCTCCATGGAAAAGATCGGATGTTCTAGCGCTTACAGGCATAGAATTTACTAGATTCCCATTGGGGTTGTCCTTTTGATCTGTATGTTCGGAGGTACTGTACTAGATTTGTGGAATTTATGGCGTGGGCTCTGCCCCAAAACCCTGTACAAGTGATCAACATTTCAAAGTTTCCTCTATTTTCTCCACGCAGTCTTGCCAAAAGAAAGTACTACTAATAAATTTATCCTGTTTGATTGCTCACTGTAGATGGTGGGAATCCACACCGGACTGCCATTGCCGTCTCTGGGGGAGATGGCCGCACAGCTGCTGGTCTACTTCCTGGTTGAGGACTACCTCAACTACTGGATCCATCGGCTGCTGCACGGTGAGTGGGGCTATGAGAAGATCCACCGGATCCACCATGAGTACACCGCGCCCATTGGCTTTGCCGCGCCATACGCACACTGGGCAGAGGTTCTCATACTCGGCATCCCCTCCTTCGCTGGGCCAGCCATTGCACCAGGCCACATGATAACATTCTGGCTCTGGATTATACTTCGTCAGATGGAAGCCATTGATACACACAGCGGGTAAGGAGTTTCAGTACTTTCTCTCTTGAGATTATTTCTATGCTTGTGCAGCCACTAACCCCTCTATAACTAAATAGCTAGCTCCCGGTGTATGTGACGATGTATGCAATGATGTAGTATTTGGCAAAGGTTATATTTTGCTGCTAGTGATGGATGCATTCATAACAAATGGAGTTGCTGGATGATTGCGACATTAGCTGCATGGGTCTACGTCTGAATTAGTTGAGTTATTGATTAAAAAGTTGTAGCTGGCTGCTTAATATGAGCCAAACTATTACTATTTCATCTAACTTGAATAACCAAGGACTGAATTTGACTATGGATTCTAATAACTCGAGAAGTTTTTATTTGGTTATGATCCAAAAAGACAAAAAGAAAGGTTTAACAAGCCATAAGAAAACAAAGTAAAGTAACCATATGTTCTGTTTGCATAACGTGTATACGCCACACGAAATAGAAACATGGGAGGTTTTCTTACGAATACAGTTCTTTGTTCATCTATAATTATATGAATGGAAGAACCTGGTAATGAAGAAGCTAAAGCAATTATCTCTTTTGTAGGACAAAATTAACAAACAAACTCTACATTTATTCGGGGTTTTCCCCAGCTGTGTTTCAATTCATGTGACTTGATTATTTTGACTAAAGTATCTTATGTTTCTTAATTATAATTTCACTCTGCTATGGAAAAAGATATAACCTACAAATCTTGAAGAAATAATAATATGTGTGAACAGCTAAGCTACAAAATGCCGCATCTAATCCGACTTTTAGGAGATGAGCCTTGTTTTATTTTGCTTTGTTGCTATGCTCAGTGATACTGTCCATGACTACTCCACAATGACATTTCTGAAGTTTTATCTTTTCATTTTGCAGTTTTGATTTCCCATTCAGCCTGACAAAGTATATTCCATTCTATGGAGGAGCAGAATACCATGATTATCATCACTACGTTGGAGGCCAAAGCCAGAGCAATTTTGCTTCCGTTTTCACGTACTGTGATTACCTATATGGGACCGACAGAGTAAGTTTTCCCCTTCATTGCACAAAGGCACTATTCAAAATCTCAGCAAGCGCAAGATTTCTAATTTGAGTATATTGTTCTTTCAGGGTTACAGATTCCACAAAGCTTACTTAGCAAAGGTAGTTTGTTTTAACTGTTTATATCTTCTGTCGTTACTTGTACTTTACCTAAGAAATAGTATCGTGCATTTTTTTTTGCAGTTTGCAAAACTGCCATCTGCTAATTGGCTGTTAAGGTGACTATATATGTGGAGCTAATTTTATTGACTTTTCTTGTCCCCCCTGCATGAAATAGTTGAAGGATCTGGCGCCAAGCGACGGCGAGAAAGGTGCCGACGGATTCGCTTACGCGAAGTTGGATTAGATGGTCTTATAGAGTGCATCCTCAGCGCCTCCCTGATGATCTTGTTCAGTTATGGCATTGTGAAAATAGTTGTGTTGAGCTGGGCATGTGTAGTTCTTGTTCTGTTATTTTTTTTTTGCAAGTGTGGTGAACATCCCTGAACTTGTTACGCTGACCAATAATATTTCCCAGATAACCTTCAAGCGAGCTTGCTATCTACGTATATGTCTGTGGATTGGCTTTCAATAGAAGAGTATGATTAAGCTTGTGCGCTTGATGGTCATACTGAATATTTATCATCTGTCTATGAAGAAAAAATATGTACATCCATTTCACTTCACACGCAAGCTCCAGTTATAAGATTGTACAGTATTAATAAGTGTCTCAATTTTGTATTAGCTCTAGTATAAATTTGTACTAAGCTTAAGACACTTATTTTGAGACGGAGGGAGTAATACTGAAAACACAGTTTAGACCATGAAATTTGTAAGCATTAACATAACGCGCTCCATTCATATAGATCCACTCTCAACAGAATGATCCAGTTAATAAAATAGCTGAAATCACAATTTACAGATAAACACTTGGTATTCACTAATCCATGAAAATAATTATTATTCAAAACACAGGGAGCAAGGGAGTCTGATCTGAAAAGACCCTAGAAGCCATTCAATAACCACGAGACTAACAAGTTGCAGAAACAACTGGAATACCCAATCCCTTGACAATCAAAAACATGACGCACGTCAAGATGATGACTCACAACACGATGGATCAAAAGGAACAGTCATCTGAAAGAGCTCTTGGTAGTCGTTCAGTATCGGCGTGGAGGGAACCGGTCCAGGAGCCTCCCAGATGGACATTCGTAAGCCATGTGACCACGGCCACCGCAGTTGTTGCAGATCATGAAGGCGCCACCCATGCAGTCACGGCTCATATGGCCAACCTGGTTGCAGGCCCGGCAGACCACGTCACTGTAGCCACCACGGAAGAGAGCACCACCGCCACCGCGGAAGGGAGCATCGCCACCACGGAAGGGAGCATCACCACCGCGGAACAGAGCATCACCGCCACGGAACAGAGCATCGCCGCCACGGAAGGGAGGAGGCCCACCCCTCTCGTTGATCTCGTCAGATTTGGGGCATTGACGGGCCAAATGCCCTGCAACATGGCAGAGGTTGCAAACAGGCTCATTGGTGCAGTTACGGGCAAGATGGCCACTCTTCCTACAGTTGTTGCAGGCCTTCTCGTTGGTGCACTCCACGGCAATGTGCCCTGGTTTGTAGCAGTTGTTGCAGAGCTTCACTTCTCCAGGCAGCATTGGCGGAGCAGTGCAGTCTTTTGCAATGTGGCCTGATTTGCCACAGTTGCGGCATATCCCTTCGTTCGGGCAGGCATTAGCCATGTGTCCAGGCTCTTTGCAGTTCCAGCAGAGATCTTTGGAAGAACACTCAGCTGCAATGTGCCTGCAGAAATTTAAAAACTGAGTGGCCAATGTTTTTGCCTCAGAAGAAAGGTAGAGGATGTACTATGCAGGCTTTCCTCTGGTCACATGGAAGAATAACGTATGACCTATGTACTCCCTCCATCTCAAAATAAGTGTCTTAACTTTATACTAACTTTAGTACAAAGTTGTACTAGAGTTGAGACACTTATTTTAGGACGGAGGGAGTACAACTTAAGCTTCACAATTTATCATGTACTGGTCATTTTTATGATGGTTATGATCTATGTACAGTTCAAACTTCAAGTATCATTATTTGTTAACCACCGCCTTCTGATAATATATTTGCATCCAGAATAAATTATGAAAAATGAACCAAATCCTTGTACAAGGCACTTGCACTTGTACTAAAAAGGTACTAACATAAGATGATTACAAATGACTTAAGACAGGTGACACGTGTATTGTTTTGAGGGGGGTGGGGGATCTCAAATAAACTATCAATTCACGCTGATACTAGATTTCTCATTAAACATGACAAGAACATAAGGTGCCTCAAAATGGTTAAGCATGAGCAAATAATTGCAACCATTAATCATGGTAACCCAATGTAAAATATGCACTGGAAAACAACTAGGTCTACCTAGAATATTAAAAGCATGAAAACCCCACAGGAAAAGAAATGCAATAGTTACATGATGATGGACAGAGTTCTAGATACAATACGGCATACAAAAGCAAATAACAAATATGCACTAGAAAATAGCAGGGCTAAAATAAAACATTGAATCATTATGAATAAGAAGTCAAGAATACAATAAAAAGTTGCTACACAATGGAAGATCTTAACATGAGCTAACATACAAGACTGCAAAATCTCAGATCCGCATGACCAAACAAGTAATAGTCCTTACCCTGGAAGGCCACAGGCATGGCAGACAGACACATTTGGACAATCTCTAGCAAAATGCCCTGGACGCTTACAGTTGTTGCACAAATCACTAGCAGACCTGCAGTACAAGTAAAGGAAATAATTAGAGGATACACAGGCCCCTGCTACCATCATAGAAACCAGGGCTAGAGTAAGGCCTCTTCAGGTAGCATTATGGCCAACGCATACAGTTAGGAGAGAAAGCAGCAACGCTTGATATACGATGGCAAATGTTCATCGTGTTTCATTAAATAAGGCGGCTCAAACCTGTTTGGACCACGGCGGCCGTCCCTGTCTCTCCGGTATGGCGCGTCACGGTACAAGGTGCGTTCAGTACGCATCCTCCGGTCCCTCGGCGGCGGGCTTCGGCTGCTCATCGTCAACCCTTCCTTCTAAATCTCCTGCCTCCAAGCTCCCACCAAACTGTGAACACCACACGTCCAAACCACAAAATCACCACAACTCACCCTGCTTCCTTCCTCCCTTCCTTCCTGTCGACAACAAAACCACAGGCTGAAATCCAACCCCATGAGGCCAACAACCATCATCATCCTCTACTAAGCACGCTGAATTCCAACGGTAGGCCGCACGAACTTCCCCTACTTTCCGCCACGACCATTCACGACATGCAAGCACCGCCCCGCATCTTGATTTCTCGTGACGCAGAGGGTTTCCTTCCCAGACAACAACATCACCCAATTCACGCCCTACCAATAAATTTTGTTTTACCACCTGACCCTACAGCCATGAACCGTCCTACAACCACCTCAAGCACGCTGGATTATCAACATATGAGCGCCTCAACAGTTCCACCGGGCCATGCTCCTAAGTCCTATCGGACAAAGCCCAAGCTTCAATGAAAGAAACCCTAGGGGCGGCGACCACATCGGGCAACAGCAAGCGGGTTCGCATCTACTCGGGCAACATACGCGTACAGCTAAAGGCACGAAATCTCGGGGAAGACGGGCCGATTTCTGCTAACACGGCGCAAATTAGGTGAAGGTGAAGTCGACGAAACCGAGGCTTACCTAGGGTACGGATCTCCAGCAGGGAAGAGGACGACTGAAGAAACCCTACGAGTCCGGCGAACTCCGGCGGAGGTCAGCGGGGGGAAGCCGCGGCGGCGACGGTGAGGGACAGAGACCCCGACTCGCGATGTTGGATTGGGATTGGGTTGGTCCGGACACCGAAGGCACCCGGTCGGTCGGTCGGGAAGACGACGCAGATCCAGGCTATAAGAGGGAGCACGTGATTTTCCTAGCCGTCCGATCTCCAGTGGACGGCTCACAGAAAGCGAGCCACCCGTAGAAGACTAGAAGTCGTAACGCAAAGTTTTAAAAAAGGCTGTGGCGCTTGTGGTGGGCCGGAATCGAGCGACTCTTGGGCTTGGGCCAGGATGTCTCTCGCCGGCTGCAGCGGCGACGGTGGCGCGGCGGCGGCGACGTGGACGCCACCGTACTGCACCATCGTGGCGGCCGACACGTCCGACTTCTCCTACCTCTCCTGCCCGGCCTGCGGCCGCCGCACGCTCCCGGGCCACCCCGAGGGCGCACCCTGCGGGGCCTGCGGCGGCCCCGCCCCGGCGCGCGCCTACCGGCTGCTCCTCTCCGTGGCCACCCACGACCGCGTCTTCCCCGTCGTCCTCTTCGACCGCGCCGCGCGCGCCCTGCTCGGCTGCTCCGCCGACGAGCTCGCGCGCCTCTTCGCCGCGCACCGGGGCGCCGCGCGCGCCGCCGCGGACGCCCTGCAGGGGGAGATGTGCCGCCTGGCGCTGCGCGAGCCCACCAAGGACGGCGCCGAGCACCTCCGCGCCGTCTCTGTCGTGCCGCTCCGCGACGGGTTCCGCCCGGTCGTCGACACCCTCAGGACGCTCTACTCGCGCGCCGGCGGCTGACCGCCATGCTTAGATGGAACGCTTCTATGCGTCCTGCTCTGTAGTGCTGCGAACTGTATCAGTCGATGATCTCTAACTGTGATGTTACAGTGTAATTGGTACTCCCTCTATAAAGAAATATAAGAGCATTTAGATCACTAAAGTAGTGATCTGAACGCTCTTTTATTTCTTTACGGAGGGAGTATTGATTATGATGAAAAGTAGTTGGAAAAATGTCAGCGTAATGTGCATACAAGGCATCATCCCATTTAAATCTCTGATTTATCACAAAACTAGCAAATCATACATGTCAATGTTTCATCTCCTAAAAAATCATAGCAAATCATACATGTCTGCTGAGGAGTACGTTGATTTGTGTACTAAGATGTGCAGTCTACTAGAGAATACTGTACAGAGGAAGACCTGTTCATGCTAGTACAAGAAAACTAGTGAAGCGTTACAACGAATGAAGGATCAGTGATCAGTGACTGGGTCTCGTCTGCTACGACCTAATTCTGAAGACCTGCAGCTTCTCCTCGCTCAAGCACCCGAGGTACTTCTCCCCGGTGGAGCTCTCCGCAAACCTCAGGTCAAGGATAGGTTGGCGGTGCGGCCTGAGATCAGCGAGCGGCTGAAACGAAGGCAGCCGCCACGTGCGAACTCCGCGCAGCGACTCGTCGCCGTAGGCAAAGAGGCGTTGGTCGGTTCCGCTGCAGGGTAAGATTGCGGACTTCGACATCCGCAGCTCACTCACGTTGCCGTTGCAGATCTGCTCTTTCACGAAGGATGTGCTGCTCTTCCTCCTCAGGAGAGCGTGGCACCCGAGCTTCCCAGAACTGGAGAGAGTCGGTGATTGTGATATACCCATTTGAGATGCACTGCCATCGCCCGAAAACTCGACCCTCGGACGGAAGGAAGCCACAATCAGATCACTTGATGGAGCGGCACATGCAAGGGATATGCAGACCCCTTGGTTTTCCATCCCGGTAAGCAAATTTGGCCTGGAAAAATGACCAACATTTAATATCTTCATTTGCACATACCATAGGCATCGGCAGAATCGGTAAGAGCTTTTGAGCTGGCAAGTACCTATTTTCACTGCCATCTACATCCCAAATGCAGGGTCCTATGGAAGAAGCAGAGATGATCTTCGTGGAACCGCTATCATCTACGACAGAGTGGATTGTATGAACTGGGTTTGTAGATAGGCCACTCAAGGAGTGCAGTGGTCCTTTAGTTTGGCGGGTATCAAAGACCAAAAGCATGCCATTCTGTAAAATTCAACAGAAGTTTCTTGTCACCCTTTCAAATAGCAGAAAAGGTTCAGAAGGAATCATAAGAGATTTTGAGTAGCCACCTGTAATCCAGCATATACGTGATTGGGGCCAGTTTGATCCCCTGAACAGGACCAGCCTGGAGCCTGCATTGTATTAAAATACAAAAATTAGCAGGCCAGGATAGACCATTCAAGTAGTTCACAAAACAAAGTTCTAACTGGAAAGCATATATTCAGTACGTTTAAAGTTTAAATGTTCCAATTTCTGTGCATCATTGTCAGTTACAAGTGCCACAGGATGTAAATCTTCTGATATTTTGAAACATGTATGCTGCTGCATTTTAATATACACGACATAAAGAGCTATAAGAAGAACCAAAAATGAATGGAAAGCCTTCTGGAAACCCACACCCTCAAGCAAACACACCATCTATAATTTAAAAATACATATATACTTATAATGAAGTTAATCGCAAATGGAATCAGGTGAACAAAATTTTGGGGAGCATTGGTTTAGTCAATGTATGGAGAACATAAATGTACTTGCAAAATTTGTGAACTTCAAGTTCAAAGAATCACCGGTAGATCATACTGAAGGACAACATTGTTGGTTGTCATGCTGTAATATGCATATCGCACAAAAATAAAAGTTAGTTAAAATCTGTTAAATAAAATAGTGAGAAATTGAACTGGCATATGTTGCAGACGGACCTGAGAAGTGACAATTTCCTGCCAAGAGATGCAAAAATAGCAAGGCCCCCAGGAGTTATACAAATATCCCTGACAGCTTTAGTGTTAGGCGGAAGGCGGACTTTTGTTTCCTGTCTAGAGAACATGCAGATCTGTTGAAATTATGAGTGGAGATACATAAGGTGACTACGAATAAACAAACAAAATGTGTGTCAAGAAGCATAACTCGTCTTCAATCATTAAGCAACACATCTAGTTTGTAATCTGTACCTTGGTAAGGACATGTTCAGCACTAACTCCAGGAGCCCTTCCAGAAGCTACTATAATCTGGCTGGATGCATCTATGCCCATGACTCGAGCTCCATCCAGGACAAACTCATTCTACAACATATGGTAAACAACTTCAGAACATGGTGCCTTACACAAATGAGTGGTTATGTTTTTTATGTGAGAACGAAGTGAGGAACAGAAAAACAAATTGGATCAAAAGATTATATGACCCTTTCGGGCCCAAAGTTGGCATGACAAACAAGATACCAAGGCATGTACATGATAGATTTTATCATATTACATGATCCTTTAAAAGCACAACCAAATGGCACTAGAAAACAACTCTCAAGAATGCTCCATATAGTTTAAATGTAGAAAGAGACAATCAAGCAACACTCGAAATAAAATATACCTGGAGAACAAACTTGCAAAGATCGCTACTGCCACCATGTGCTCTAAGTGAGGGAAGTGACTCTGCAATCATTGCTCCATTCGATGATTGTTCTGCCATTTTCTTCATAATTGGTTGAAAAGAACATTAGCATCCTCTATTGTATAAATGATAATAAAATTAATTTTTTGAGTAATGCTACCTGTCGCTTTGAGCTTGACTCATTTATTAGACGTTGCTGATACAAAATCTGCCTCTGCAAGACATATAAAAACATGAGTGAATAAATACGATGCTCTACTGAACAAAAAGGTTTATTTCCTGACATGTGAGAGGTCAGTCAGAAACTAGCAATTTAGTATATACTATAATAAGGGAACATACACAGGAGGGCTTTGTTAAGATGAATAAACTGAGAGGTAAGCTTTTATCTGCACAGCATTACTAAGAAGAATCGCCGTACTAGATTTTCAGTTTAAATAGTATGCATGGTAACACAATGAAACTATTGTTCATACTTTAAATAGCGATACCAAAGCGGAGAAGTTATGCATGTACCTTATATTCTTTTACCTCCTCAATTAATTTTTGTTGCTGCATGGAAACATAGAAGTATTAGGTTATATAACAGCTATATGCAACGTATGCCTTGTGGTGACTTAATATATTTATAGGAGTGTTACGATAAGAGAATATGCCAGTTGCCTATAACCCAACAACAGAACATTAACATATTTCTCACAAAAATGTCTAAGCTTATTAATAATCATTACACATTTACACTGAACTGAAATGGCATGAAGAGATGAATTCAATAGCAGAAGTGAACATTCAACATCGGGCATGCACAAGCTACAGAATCAACTAAAAAGAGAGTAATCAGGCAGTTGCTGAACCAGGCAGGGAGTAACAGTTTAGCAAAGAGGGGCAAACGCCTATGATTTACTCAGATTCCATCTGAGTTACCCTTTTTGTATCCATAATCCGTTTGACTTTTATTTGCACTTGAAGATTTTGCTAATAGTTTGTTATCCATTTTGCCTTTTAATCCTTTTATTATTCTTTGCTGCCTTAAGCGACGAAGTGTACTTATATAAGACCATGTAGTCTTATCACCAGGATTTCTTGATTCACAGATGTAATTAGTGTTCATACAGAATAACAGAAGTACAAATATCCTTCTTGGTAATATGACTCATAATATCTTACATTCAGTGAACATGTCAACAGGAAAGAGTGTTCATATAAATCCTAATATCAGTTTGAAGCAAAAAAAATGTGGATTCTGAAAAGGAAGTAGCTTACTTGATTCTCAAGAAATTCATTTTTATCTCTCAATGATAATACTTGCTGTATAAACAAAACAAGCTTCAGTCCATGGTCAGAAATATATCCAAGGAAAAGAAATAAAAGAAAAACTAACCTTTTCAAGATCATTATTTGGAACAACAATCTCTGGTGCATAGAGGTTGATAATGTTCTTTTGTCTAAACATCTTGCCGCACTGAGGACACTGATTAAATAATAACAACAACCATGGTCTGAGAAGTATTTCTCCCAATAAGAGTGTGCAATTCACTTAAAGATGTGATTCTAAACTAGGAGTTGTTGACAACATACCGTGGCACTTTTCTTCCCACACTGTGCTAACCATTTTTCTAAGCAAGATCTGCCGTAGACATGTCCACAAGGAATGCAACTACAAGTAGAGTATCATATAGTTAGCAATTCAAGATTTCCACCAAGATGAGTTATTTTGGGGGCTACAAATAACGAGTTCAAAACATAGGTCTATGCCACAAAACCAGCAAATAAAAAACTAGAAACAGGTTTAAAGAATAAACGAGGTTCATCACCCCCTGGATATTTTTTAGGGGTACCCCCTGGATACAAAATTCAAATAATCAAAAGGCTCAATGATGCATAGTGTTAGAGTACGTAATGGGCCTAACGGGCCCATTAGTCTTAGGGTTAATTAGAGATAAGGGTCGCTTGCTTAGGGTTCAAGTAAACCTTGCTTGGGAGTCAAGTAAACCTCTCTATATAAAGAGAGGAGATGTATCAATCTAATCAAGCAAGAATTAAGAAGGAAATCCCTTCCCTCTTGCCCGGCCGTGGGCAGAAAGGCCCCCAGCCGGCCCTCTCGCGCCCTCCTTCTAGCAGCGCCATAACAATTTGGTATCAGGTAGCTCAGTTCCGATCATGTCTTCACCGCCGCCCACCCCGTCGCTTCCGCTGCCGACCGTCACCACCGCGCCGCTGGTCGCATCCTCCAGCGTCGCCACCGCCCAGATGCCGGCGCCCTCCACCGCACCACCGGCCGCCGCCTACACCCCAGAGGAGATCACCGGGGTCCTTAACTACCTCGTCACAGCCGTCCAGGGGATCCGACTGTACCTGGCCAGCCCCTACGGGCCGCCGCCGCCCCTGCCGCCGACCATCGCCACCGGGCCGCCGGCCCTGCCGTGGTACTCGCCGCATCCAGGGGCCTCCGCGGCGTTCGCTGGGACGCTGCAGCCCCAGCTGCAGCGGCCGGCGCCCCGCAGTGGCCGGTGCCGACTCCCGCCGCGCCTCGAGCGCCCATCGCCGCCCCCGTGGCTGCCGTGGCAGCCGACGCACCAGGCGGCCTTCGCCGCGCTTGCCGGGCCACTGCAGCCGTCGCTGCAGTTGCCATCCATCGCCACCACCGCCCAGCCCTGGCTGCAGTGGCAGACGCCACTCCTGGCGGCCTCCGCCGCACCCGATGCGCCACCGCAGCAGCCGCTGCAGCTGCAGCAGCCACCGCCGGTCAGCTCTGGCCCCGCATCGACCGCACCGGCAGGAGTCCCGCTTCACCAAGTCCAGTCCACGCCCTCGTCGTCACTGCTTCCGCCTTGGATCGCTACCCGCCACGTGTCGGCGGTTGTGAGGCTGCAGGCTGCTGCGCGCGGCCTCCTAGTGTGTCGGCATGTGCGGGAGATGCGTGGTCTGCAGATGCCACTCCTCCAAGTTGCCCTTCGCTGCGCAAAGGACCTCGATCTCATCCGCTGCGTCGGGGATCTTGGGCATGCAGTTTCCCCCATGGGCAGCGGGCATGCTATTTTCCCCGCGGGCAGCGACCTCAAAGTCTGCGACATCGACGGTTGGGGGGCGCACCCCTCCTCGTCGTTCTCCATCGCAAGCCCTCCACTCTTCCCTGTGCGGTGCAAATCAACAGTCGTCCGGCAGGGAGAAGGCATGGTGTCACTGACAGCAGCGCACCGCGTCGCACCACTGCATTCCGCCACCGGCCGCCGCGAGGGCGCCTCTGCTGGTCATACACATGCACTCCTTTTGTCCAGGTGGTGTCCATGGGATCCAGGTGGCTGTACACGTGCACGTCCGACGTGCGGATGGTGTCCATTTTTTGTTAAGGGGTTCAAAATAAAGCGTCCCAGTCCATTTTAGGTTGAGAATAATAAAACAAGCCGAGATGTAAAAGGCTTGTTTTTTTAGGTGTTAGGTTTATCTTGCGTGGAGTCGTGGTTATAAGTTGGTTAGGTTGCAGCTCGAGGACAACCTGCATGTCCAGGTGGAGTGTAGTGTTAGAGTATGTAATGGGCCTAACGGGCCCATTAGTCTTAGGGTTAATTAGAGATAAGGGTCGCTTGCTTAGGGTTCAAGTAAACCTTGCTTGGGAGTCAAGTAAACCTCTCTATATAAAGAGAGGAGATGTATCAATCTAATCAAGCAAGAATTAAGAAGGAAATCCCTTCCCTCTTGCCCGGCCGTGGGCAGAAAGGCCCCCGGCTGGCCCTCTCGCGCCCTCCTTCTAGCAGCGCCATAACACATAGTAAGTGCAGTATTGCAGTTTCTGCGTTGTTAGCAAATTTGACGGCCCATTTTAGACCAAAGGCCATGGCCCAGCTTTAAACTATTGAAAACCTAGAACTTAGGTGACCCACTTACAATAAGAGACAATCTTAACTCGGCAAGATTATCTTCGTCTGCTACTCAACAAGCAAAACACAGTATGACAGGGAGGAGCTGGTTCACAGCTTTTGATCGGATCACTAGACATTACGTCCTAAACAACAAGCAAAAACAAAACAAAGATGAATAATTTCATGACCCTTCACATGTTTCATGAATAATCAAGTTACAACATTAATATAGTTAAGTTTAGATCCAGGCTTAAAATCACATAGCAATCCTACATTAATGGACATTCAGTCCAATATGACAACGCTGTAGCTTATGAGTCAAATATGTGCCACCGCAAACCTGCGGCATCGCCTAAAACATGAACCTCCAGTCCATCCACCATACTGAAATCACATCAGCTCCAAGTTTTAAGGGGGAAACACAGCACAATTACCGTGTGGTCTCTGCTAATCCGCAGAGCAACGAAACTAAGGAACCGCGGCAGCAGTACCAAGCAATCTAGAACTAGAAGTAGAACCACACAGCACAAGGGTCTACCTAGTAAATCCACCAGATCACGGCACAATTCCCTCTCACCTTACGCGATGCTCGCCATCGGCGGTCCACGCGTTCATACACACGGGGCAGCTGGGGAGGAGCGGCCCCTCCGCGTCCTCATCATCCCCATCCCCCGCCTCCTCCCCATCGTCCTCACCCGAGCTGGAAGAGCTCACCGGGTGAGCCGGTAACGCACTAACCGCCGCATCGCCGTCGGCGCCGAGCTCGCCCGCCTCCTCCACCGGCGCTTCTGCGTCGCGCGCCCCCTCCTCCACCGGCTGCGGCGGCCGGCCCCGGGAGCGCGTCCCGGACGCCGGCATACAGGGGAGTGGGATTGGAGAACGGATTGGGGAGTGGCACGGAAAGAAAGAGAAAGAGAAGAGGGAAATTTTCGGAAGCGGTGGCGCCGGCGACGGAAAAGGTTGCGCGCGCGCATGAGGGAGGAGGTTTTCGGGGCCCGTGGGCTCTTGCATTTACGGGCCTGGGGAAACATCTGGCCCAGGAAGCAACGCACCGGCACCGGCGCCCTACGCGCTGCAGCAGCGGTGGCAGCGGGGGTCAAGATGTTTAGTACCACCTCGCCTGGCGGAGCTGGTTGCGAGGGGGCAGGAGGCTACATAAGGAGCGGCACCTGTCAACGTTGTAACATACTTACCTGGATGGGGTCGACAGGTGATCAAGAAGGCCCGTGGCCTAGGTCAATGGCCCACATTGCACTTGGTGGGCGCGTTGGCCTATCATCTCCCCGAGTGGGAGAGTGAACGTCGTAATTTATGGTAGAGGGGTATGCGTCCGCGCGGCCCTGCCAATTCTGTAAAATTAAAATTTGGTCCTTGAGGCCGGGCGTGTCTCAGTTTATTCTTAAGGTCTGAAAGTTTCCTGTAAAATTTTATTTTCATCCTTTAGACCTTGTTTCTAAGATTAACAATTTATCTTCATAGTCCATGAGGTATTATTTCTGTATTCTAACTTTTCATTTGAGACCCTACAGCCGCTATTGTTTTCTCTTTCTTTTCATTGGATACATTAAAGTGCGAATTTCCTGAAGAGAAAGAAAGCGGAATTCTGCAGAAATATTTAGGTCTTGGATCTCAATCCGAAAGCGTAGACAGAGGGAGGAAGATTTGATTTTGGGGGAGGATTGATGGCGCGAAGCGTGCCGTACGTGTCGGCGGCGAAGCTGGTGTCCATGGCGCGGGGGAACCGGGTGGCCATCATCGACGTCAGGTAAACAGGAAACCTCGCCGGGGCCGCGCGCGCCCTCCGCCACGTGCCGATTCGGGAGCTGATGATTGTTTTTTTTGGAAGGGATGAGGAGAGGAGCTATCAAGCGCACATCGCGGGGTCGCACCACTTCGCCAGCGGCAGCTTCGCGGCGCGGATGCCGGAGCTAGTGCTGGCCACCAGCGGCAAGGACACCCTCGTCTTCCACTGCGCGCTCAGCCAGGTGAAGATCCCCGCCTCCTCTCGTCTCTAGGACCAGTTCCCCTTTGTCGACAGTTTACTTGCCTTGTCGAAATACAAGGAAATCAGATTCTCGACACAGACCGCACTGCGCAATCGACCGGGTCTCCTATCGACCGGGTGGGGGAACCTTGGCCAAAATTTCATCCGGTCTTCTTCTCTCCTAGTTAATTAGCTCGTTTGTTAACTTTGAAGCCCTGTGACTTTGTTGGAATTAACGGCTGCGCATGTGCTGCTTTGTGTGTTAAAATGCTGCTTGCTCGAGCGCTAGGTTCAGTTTTAGACACTTGGATTTGAATCAACAATCAGGCCATTTCCAGTTGTCGTTAAGGGCCCTTTCTATACGGTTAATGTTTCAAAACTCTAGTTAGTGATGTTCCTGTTAATGAATTCCCTTTGATTGTTTCTGCTTTGTGATGTTCATGTTAATGAATTCCCTGGAAGAAATTTCACCCACCTCTTCTACCTGGATCCTGGAACATACCTTGAAGAAATATTGTTCTCAGTCAATGTAGTCAGATAAAACATTTTGTTCTTATTGAAGGGGTGTCTGGATATTCTTTTTGTGGATTTTTTTGGTGTTGGATAAAGTGCAACCCGCGAAAGCCTGCAAATGTGTATCAAAAGTCAGCTTTATGCCGATGTCAAGTCAGAAATTACACTAAGTTGACTCTCTGCATAATTGTATGCAGGCTTCGTGGGTTGCCTGCGTGTATCCATATATATTAGTGGTTCAAGCCTAGGATATCTCATTTGTCCCACCTTGCCAGTAGTAACCACAGATGCACAGAAACTAAAAGATGAGATTCAGAACCACACGTACAAAATGTGAAACAGAGGGGTAAATGTAACGTGAGCTTGCAGACTTAACCACAAAGGGGGTAACAGTGAGCAAAGTAGAAGTACAATCAGCTGAGCATGGAGCCTGAGACGCCTGAGTTCTTGGATGCAAAACATGTCTTGAGCAAAAGTTGCATGTTCTGTTTCTTGCTTTCTATGGCTAATATGTTGCCAAAAACTTGGTGAACACCTTGAAATTGTATTGTTCTCTTGTAACATAAAAGGTAGTTGGCATTGTTAATTCATCTGATTTCATACGCTAGCTTTAGTGTGACATTTGTTTTCATTTAGTTAGTTCCAATGTACCATGTAACTTTATGCTTCTAGAACTTGCTCTTTTGTACTGTCTAGTGATGTTCATTTCTTAGTATGCCAGTCATATCTTCGATCATGTTGATTCTGCGATAGCATTTCAGTATATGGTTGTTTACATAGTTAGGGTAAGAAATAAATAAAATCTTGTTATCTCATGTTCTCTATTTTGTACCATATCTTTTGTTTATCATCTTACATGTTCTGTCACCACGCCCCAGGTGCGAGGTCCGTCCTGTGCTCGGATGTTTTCAGACTATCTATCAGAGTCCAAGGAAGATTCGGGGATAAAGAACATCATGGTGCTTGAACGTGGGTTCAATGGATGGGAGATTTCTGGCCAACCCGTGTGCCACTGCAAAGATGCTCCTTGCAAAGGCACATGCTCTTGATCTTCTGGATTACCATCTGGTCCATTTATACTCAGCTTTTGAACGATCTGCAATTCAGCATCGCTGCTGAGCTGGTCCTTTCTCATTGAGATGATGATGCATAACAATCCATTGAATTCCGCAATGGCATGTCTTTAAACATTTCATTTACAAATATATGACACGTCTTTTTTCCAGATGATATATGTACATGGTATACCTAAATATACCTTGTGCGAAAAATCTTCTTTAAATGTACCTGGAAGTTTGAAGATGATTGTACCATTGAACTAGGCATGTTAGTTTTTGAAGAATTTTCAAGTTTTATCCTCTTCATTTCCCATGGAGCTATGCAATCCCAACATGATTTCATAATCACTTTTATTTCTCTTTCTTGAAAAGTGTTCTAAGCTTGGGAATTGAAATTTTATATTCTTTCATATCAATTATTGCCCCTATAGTCCTTAGAAAATGTCTTCCCAATATAATTGGACATAGAGGATTAGGTTTCATATCCGTAACAATAAAATCTACATGGACATAATTAATATTGGCAAGCACAAGAATATCTTCAACCTTTCCAGTTGGTTTATTTATGGTGTTATCTGCCAAGTGGACATTAAGTCCACGTTTAATAAGGGGTTTTAACCCAAGTGCATCATGTAGCTTTTTAGAAATTGTGGATACACTTGCACCTAAATCACATCTAGCATCATAGGTAAAGTTGTTAATGCTAATATTTATGGATGGTTCCCAACCATCTTTCAACTTCCCAGGGATCAAAACTTCTTTATTATATTTTCCCAAACAAATAAGACAACTCCAGACATATATTTAGTAATGTTATAGTTAAATTCAACACCCTTTGAATTCATTAACCTCTTCAAACCCACTTTTCTCCAAAAAAAATAAAATAGATTCACGTTTTTTTTCTCTCTGTCTAGCCTTCCACCTTGGAGTACCATGCATAAAGTCTCATCACCTTGTTCATCATTTGATACATAGAGGTTTCCCATTTCTAGATAAGAGGACTTCAAAGTTGAGACAGTCATTTGAATATTGTTAAACTTGTTAACTAATTCATCTAGTGTAGGATCGAAAGTATGTCTAGAGGGGGGTGATTAGACTACTTGACCAAATAAAAATCTATTATTTTCCCAATTTTAGTTCTTGGCAGATTTTAGCAACTTAGCACAATTCAAGGAATCTTAACACAATTCAAGCAAGCATGCAAAGAGTATATGGGCAGCGGAAAGTAAAGCATGCAACTTGCAAGAATGTAAAGGGAAGGGTTTGGAGAGTGTAAATGCAATAGGAGACACGGATGTTTTTATCGTGGTTCCGATAGGTGGTGCTATCGTACATCCATGTTGATGGAGACTTCAACCCACGAAGGGTAACGGCTGCGCGAGTCCACGGAGGGCTCCACCCACGAAGGGTCCACGAAGAAGCAACCTTGTCTACCCCACCATGGTCGTCGCCCACGAAGGACTTGCCTCACTAGGGTAGATCTTCATGAAGTAGGCGATCTCCTTGCCCTTACAAACTCCTTGGTTCAACTCCACAATCTTGTCGGAGGCTCCCAAGTGACACCTAGCCAATCTAGGAGACACCACTCTCCAAGAAGTAACAAATGATGTGTTGATGATGAACTCCTTGCTCTTGTGCTTCAAATGATAGTCTCGCCAACGCTCAACTCTCTCTCACAGGATTTGGATTTGGTGGAAAGAAGATTTGAGTGGAAAGCAACTTGGGGAAGGCTAAAGATCAAGATTCATATGGTAGGAATAGAATATCTTGGCCTCAACACAAGTGTAGGTGGTTCTTTCTCAGAAAATGTAGGTTGGAAGTGTAGGCACGTTCTGATGGCTCTCTCCACGAATGAATAGGGGATGGAGGGGTATATATAGCCTCCACACAAAATCTAACCATTACACATAACTTACCAATCTCGGTGGGACCGAATCGTTAAACTCGGTCGGACCGATTTAGCAAATCATGTGACCGTTAGGATTTTCGGTGGGACCGACATGCAACTCGGTAGGACCAATATGATTAGGGTTAGGGCATAACGTAATCTCGATGAGACCAATTACAAAAACTCGATGGGACCGATTTTGGTAATGGACACAGAGGGTTGGTCAGGCAAACTCGGTGGGACCGATTCGCTCATCTCGGTAAGACCGAAACGTTACAAAAGGGAAATAGAGAGTTTGCATTGCAATCTCGATGGGACCGATCGCTCATCTCGGTTTGACCGAAACGTTACGAAGGGAAACAGAGAGATTACAACCCCATCTCGGTGAGACCGAGATCCCTATCGGTGAGACCGATTTGCCTAGGGTTTGTGGCAGTGGCTATGACATCTGAACTCGGTGGCGCCGGATAGGAAGAATCGGTGGGGCCGAATTGGAATTTTGGTTTGGGTCATATGTGGATGTGATAAAGTAGTTGAGGGCTTTGGAGCATATCACTAAGCATTTTGA